ATATTTTTTTGAAAAATAATTTGTTGATTAAGATTATTATATGATAATTAATTATAGGTGAAGAAAATCTCGAGGTTATTGAACCCGGGATCGAGGATTAGAGCGAATCTTTCAGAGTTCATCGTTTAGACCAAGGTGAGGGAACTCGACAGATCTCCTCTTTCTTCTATTCGCTTAGACATGATGATAGAGAACATAGATACCATGCGGTTAGGACTTTAGGATAGACGCCTTAAATTCCTTGCGGATTCATGATGTATGTTGATTGATGATTGATGATTGATGAAGGACGATTAATGATTGAGAATCGATGATTTATGAATAATGCATGATGATTGATGATTGATAAATTTCCGTTGAGTGATTATGGTTTATGACGCACATGTTATGTGATGACGTTTTTTTTAATAGGTTATTAGCTCGTTAGAATGAGTTGTACTTATGATATTAAATAAACTTTGGCATGATGTTTGGAAAGATGAGAGAATTAAAGAATTGAGTTAGGGACTAGGATGTGACCTCAGACTGTGCTAAATTTTTTTTTAAAAGTGAGTTTTGAGACCATGGTACGGCGGCGATCCGTATGTGATGGCATAACGACCCGGACATGGCAGCGATCCATGTGGAGTGGTAACCCCGACTACGGCGGCGATCCGTAGAGGGTTATTACTATTGGTCGTGTTTTGCGATCCGTAGAGGGTTATAACGATATTTTTGTTTTGTTTTATAAAAGAGTTTTGAGCTAAGTCTGAGGGGTACTAAATAGTCCTAGAGTCTGGACTCGTTTTAGAGAATCGAACAAAGAAAAGTTAGGAGAAGAACGTGAATCGATAGATTGAGTTTTGTTTGAGTTGAATGTTGATTGAATTGTTTTCTATTTGATTGTCTATTCTGGGTACGGAGGCGAGGTTTATAGTCTTGCAACCTTACTGAGCTATTCGCGTAGCTCACCCTTTCATTTTTCTCCACAGGTGAAAAGTGAAGCAAATTATTTTTGTTGGATTTGGTAGTTTGCCAGAAAGACGAAGATTTAGAGTTTCTATTTTATTTATTCAATTTATTCATGAAATTAATATGCAGACTTATGTTATTGAATTCATTGTTTTAGACTTCCGCTGTAGAGTCTGATTTTGATGGTTGATTTTAGAATAAATCGGATTTTTTTTTAACCCAAGTGACGATTCAACGATATCCGAAATACCGGATTTTTGGGTCGTTACACTTGTAACCCTTTCTTGATGAAAATGTTGCAGTTCTGAAAAACCGCAGCTGCATCTTCGAAAATGAAATTGATCGTTCTGATTATAACACAACTTATGTAATAGTGACGGTGCATGTATGCGTATAACGTGTCCTGATAGCCGTCAAAATGACAGTTTAGGAAGATCGAACGATCGGATTGTACACGTATCGCTACTGTTGGAGTTCCTCGAGTCCCGTTGTATTCGTGAACCCCATGGATTCTGCCATGAACCCTTCTCCTTGTGTGACTGAAGAAAAATTCATGGAGAATTAAGAAATTTTATTATCGAGATAAACGTCGAGAATTCATTCTGAAAAACACATACCGAATGTTGCGGTGGGGAACGTGCGAATTTTCTTCGCGTTGCTTTTGTTTCCCGTAACGATCTCTTCTGTGATCCATCACCAACCATTGTAAGATTAGCCTTTTTGTCTATAGTCACGGTTTCACCATAAACTCCATGCTTGATGTAGATAATGTACCTGCAATTTTCGGTGACACGACATCGAGTATGAAGAGAGATGGAGAAGATTCGAGAAGATTACGTAATATTTAGATTTGATTTTATTTCTATATTTTCTATATTTATATTGATTAAATAAGATATGTTGTGATTATATTTTCTACCTATAAATATTGTAATTCTCTATGTTGAATAATGAGAAATCTAATGATTCTTCATCTATTTCTCTATTATCGAGAACTCAGTTCGTCGAGAAGATTGATCATTCTGTTTAATGAAATGAACCATTTTTTCTGATTATTCAGTAACTTCCTTCATACTTTTCAGGCATTGCATTGAGCGCATCGTTAATGATTGTGAAATTTTCGCTGCCATCCTTGGCGACAGTGATGTTCGGTTTGAGAAGGTTAACATCCACCACCCTCAGCATTCGCCTTTCCTTGTGGCTAACCCATGTCGGAATCCGATTAAAGGACTTTGATTCAACATTTACTCCGTAATTAATAAATAAAAATAATATGTTTAATTTTTTTTATAAAGAAAGTCCAACTCGTTGAGCGGCTTGCCGGGCTAGTTTGTTACGGCCACGAGCTCAACGATTAGCTTGTTAGACTCGTTATTAAATGAGCCAAAAAAATGATGGCTCAGCTCGCTCATTTTCTGGCGAGTTACGAGTCGGCTCGCGAACCGATGTTATTTTGACACCCTAATTTTTTTTAGTAGGCTTGGATCGCTGAAAAATAAAAAAGAAAACCAAATTTGAAATCTCCCGGAATGCCAACTCGATGTGGGTTTTTGACATTTTGTTCACAATATAAAGGGGTATTTATGTATTTTCATACTATGTATTATTAAACTAAACACTTGTATAATACCCTTGTAATTATGTGAATGAATCATCTTCCCATATAATCTTATATGATATCAGAGTCTAGTTGGCCTTAGGATTAATCTTTCAAGCGCTGTCAACTGTAACCGTCGCAGTCTCGGTTTACCTGTCGCATCTCTGCCATCTTTCCAGGTTCTCCAACTAATAACATGATTTTTTTCTCTATTTTAAGGCCCATTGTCTAGCACTTTCGCATCGGTTTTGTGCACTATTAGACATTTAGGATCATTCTAGGACTAGGTTTTGTTCCCCTTGCATTCTTTGGTGGTTAAGCAGGTAACAGATGCATTATTGACACTAGAGGAGCATAACCGAGGACTTCAGAGCAAATTGGATCGGAATGGAATGCAAAGAACATTTCTAGCTCGAGTTGCATCTGAGACGACCATGTCAAATTCAAACACGGTCATGCAGAAGTGAAGAAACGAAGAAATTACTACAGACAATCTGCACGGACCGTGTCGTATCTTGACACGACCTGTCGAGTGCAGCTCACCCGTGTTCAGCCCATGCAGAAGCGTAGGAAGTTTGATCAGACAATGGACACGTACCGTGTCGTCATTCGACACGACCATGTTGTATTCATGAAAAACTTACAATTTTGTGTCCGAACTTCAGTTTTCAGCAACAGAAGAAGCCTAGCTGACAAACAAATAAATGGAGGATGTCTTGGGCTTCAGAAACTATCGAGATATCACAGAAAAAGCCAAAGAACTCGAGAGAATAATCAAGATGGAGTTTTTCGAAAACAGAGATTGAAGAACCATCGCCGAGAAATCACTACGAGTTTCTTCCCTACTTGTTTTCTATGTTTCTCTTTATTGATTTGAACTCATTTGCTATTATGGGTTGCGAGTAATCGTTTTACTGTAATAGAGAAATAGACGGAGAATCATTGGATTTCTCATTATTTAACATAGAGAATTACAATATTTATAGGTAGAAAATAGAATCACAATATATCTTATTTAATCAATATAAATATAGAAAATATAGAAATAAAATCAAACATAAATATTACGTAATCTTCTCGAATCTTCTCCATATCTCTTCATACGCCCCCTCAAACTCAAGAAGATAAGAAACAACTACTTGAGGTTGAATTCTTAATAAAATAACGAGATTTGATAATCGAACCAAGGAACCGGTGGATTGTTGGCAGATCTGAAAAAGTTCGGTGTGACGCAAAAACGTGGTGCATATGCACGGTATTGTGGTATAGCGCGACAGCAATGTCGGCGGTGCAAAAGGCACGATGGTTTAGAGGCTATATTGGAAAAAGAAAATAAATTGCGCAAATGCACACGGCTAAAGCCGAAAAAAAAAGGAAAAAGAAGGTGGCGCAAATGCGCGGATCGACGATCGGTGTATCCCAATCGAAGAGGCTAAAAACCGGATTTAAAGATCTCACAACGGTTAGGGTTGACGTCAATAAACGAACATCGTTAGAAAAAAAAGTAGCACATCGGCTAGGATTGACAATGATAAACATCAGCGTCGGGGAAAAAAACTAGAAGAAAAAAACAAAATAAATGCAAGACGATACTCAAGCTGATGATACTATTGGAGTTAGTATATCATCGTCATCTTCATCGTCGTTTTCGGATTCAATGAATATTGTTGATAAGAGAAAAAAATAGTTAGAACAAAAACCGAAGCTCGGATACCATAATAGAGAAATAGACGGAGAATCATTGAATTTCTCATTATTTAACATTATATTTATAGGTAGAAAATAGAATCACAATATACCTTATTTAATCAATATAAATATAGAAAATATAGAAATAAAATCAAATCTAAATATTACGTAATCTTCTCGAATCTTCTCCATATCTCTTCATACACTGTAGCTAGGGATTTAACCTTGTATGGATTTGTTTGGTTTTTATTTTTCGAGACTACATTATCGATGCTCATCGGTTTGATTGAATTGAGTTTATTGCTTTTGATCTTCTTAGCTTGTTGATTGATTGATCTTAGATTCTGATTTGCAATGAAAGTTGGTATTAGATTCGGAAAGAATTCATTGAATGAATTGATTAAAACTATTGAAAAATAGGTTAATCGGTTTAGGAACTGTGATAATGATCGTTAATGCGTTTGATTCTTTAATTTATTAGGTTAAAAGATCGATAGGTTGAATTATCGGATAGTGGATTTGGGACTTAATTTAAAGAACCAAAATCTGGGATTAGAACTTGAGGTCCCCGATTAGAGTTCGATGTTCGTAGATTCTTCATTCATAGAAACAATCCTTGCGCGTTAAGATTATCCCGAAGCAATGGTGGTTTAGTTATCTAATTTTACTTAGTTTGTTTATTGTTTTATTTTCGATATTCATATACTTCATATGATATTTTCTGATCTGATTCTTGGTCGAGTCTTGTTCCTAGAGTGAACTATTCCCTGTGTTTGATCCTGGTATCACAATCGGTCCGTACCCTTGCGGTATTCGTTGTGTCTAGATTCTTTATTACTTGAGCTTATTTATACACCTAGATTAGCGCTATCAAGGTTTTGGCACCATTGTCGGGAGTTTCATCGCCGATACGATACGAGGTACACGCCCGATATAGATGCACATCCAATCCCCCTACCACCTAGATACCCGTACTCGCCATACTATTATCAGCCGAGACTACCACCACCACCCCCCGAGTAGTGAGCGTTTGATAGTTCTTTTCTTTTTCCTTTTTCACTTTCATTTTCTCTTTTGCATTCGTAGTCTGTCTTTGGAACTCGGTTGTACTTTTCAGACTTAACGATGCATCACATTCCACTTATATATTGAGAGCTGTGAGATATCGTCTGCACTTCATCTTCTATTCTTGAGTACCATGGGGGATCGCGCCATACATTCACGCTAAGTATTCTTCTCTCCCCGTTTCCTCTTTGGTTTCTCTCGTTTATTTTATCACTTCTCCCCGACGCGACTTGACACTGTGGAGTATCTTGTTCAAGTCTGGGGGAGGATGGTCTGATGACTCGT